GTTAAACCCCGTACAAAAAAAAAAAAAAAAAAAATTATTTTTTGGTGCTGGAGATCAAACTCAGGACTTTGCGCTTGCCAGGCACGTGGCAGAACCACTGAGCTAAATCCCCAGCCCAGAATTAGCCATTTAAAAACACACACTTCAATGGCAATGACATCTCTAGTACATATGAAAGCAACACTTCTTAAATTCTAAAACATTTCCATAGCGGGCTGGACCTTTCAGCCCCACCCATCTTTGGGAAGGGGAAGAAGAGTTGCACGCAGATTGAATTCGGTTGTAATGGCAAGTGATTTTATCAGTCATGCTTACATAATAAAATTGCCACAAATACCCCTTTAACGGGGTTCAAAGAGCTTCCAAGTTGGTAAAGGCATCCAGGTTTCTACCCAAGAGAGGGAACGGAATCTCTCAGTGTTGCCCACCCCCAACAGCTAGACTTTTGCATCTCTTCCATGTGGCTGTTCCTGAGTTTTATCCTTTATAATAAAATTAGGAATAGCAAATTAACTTTTCCTGCATTCTGTGACTTGTTCTAGGGAATTAGGAATGTGATGCAAGCCACTTGGTCAGGAGATATTTAAAAATGAGTCTAAAGTAGAGGCACTGTTGTAGTGCTGATAGAGAAAACTTTTATAAATAGCAAAAACCGATGAAATGTCACAATGTCACATGACTTCTGCAGTCCCTAACAGCAGTTTGCTTTGTTTAGTTCAGAATCAAGACACCAGAGGCATTAACCATGAGTGAGACATCTAGTCTTATCCTGAGCTAACAGGGTACATCAAGAACCTCTAGCTCAAAAGTTTTGTAAACTACAGGATAGTAAAGATGAAAAGAACCACTGTTAACTTTGTTTCTGACCAGGAATGCCCCTTCCCCTGGGCTAGATAGATAGCCAGATAAACCTTAAAGGTAAACTCCCCTAACAACAAAGGAGTGCTACATCTGGGTTGAAATTTAACTGTCCTGTGACCATGATTTGTATATCAACAATGTGAACTGAGAGAATGAAATGTAATCACCTGAATGAGATCATGGCTGTAAAACCCTAGAAAAGGGGAGGCTATGGCCCTGTACTTGGTCGATCGGGGCACTACTGTTAGGTGTAATCGGCCTCTGTTGATAAAATAAATCTTTTTCTTATTTTACTTCCATTGTGAGTGTCTCTTACCAATTCCTTCTGTAACAGTACTCAGCCCTTAACCTGTGAGATCCGAAGCTGACTTCAGGTACCTAGTGTCAGAATTGAAATTAATTTGACACCCAGTTGGTGTCAGAGTTGGAGAAATAGCATAGCAAGCCCCTCTGCTTTTTGTGTCAGATGTGTCGAGAGTAAAAGAAAGTATGTCAGAAGCCCAAAATAAATGCCCTTGGAAATGACAACACTTGAGTGGATCTCAGAGTGTTATAACCTGTTACAATTGTAAACGCCCTACAGGGTCACAATAAAGGTCTGAAGGAATTAAGATCCAGTTTTAATGATTTGGTAGCAAAGGGGTTCCTCACATTATTTCTTCTTTCAATAGCCCTGTTTGGCCCACCGTTAAGTCACATAAAAATGAATGGTGCCATACTTCAGAGGACCAAACCCCAATAAGTGCTATCTCCAATTAAGGCCCATACACTAAATGAGATTACTTCATAGCTACTGACCTAGCTAATGTTTTATTCTGTCCTCAGTTCTCTAAAATCAAAACAATTTATGTTGCCTTTGAGGGGTCCCAATGTAAATGCACTTTTTTCCTAAATCTGTGGGGTATCTCTGTAGCCTACCACTGCTCAAAATTTATGCACACATGACACTCGAGGGCTTACTCTGTCCCAAGCATTGATATTATGCTGAGAGGGAAAACTTATGAAGCCATTATGTAAGACATTAAAAATGTTTACCAGATTTGGTCATGGGTGAGCTACCGTGACTTAGTGTCCAGTGTCCTACTTCTCTCAAACTTGGGGGCAAAATCTGGCCCAAGGAAAGCAGCTCTATGCCATATCCAGCGAAGCAGTATTTGCTCTCTTTATTCCCACTTACTTCAAACTCTTTATCCTATTTGGCTGTTAGTAGTAACGATTCCTTCTTTAGTCTTTAAAAACCTACTGTAGGCTGGGCATAGTGGCGCAAGCCTGTAATCCCAGCACTCGGAAGGCTGAGACAGGAAGATTGCTGTGAGTTTGAGACCAGCCTGGGCTACATAGTGAGTTCCAGGTCAGTCTCAACTACATAGTGAGACCCTGTCTCACTTGGCCAACCTGTTCTCTTTCAAAGATCAAGAGGTGTTGTGCTAACCCAAATATCAGGGGTAAACTGTGAAAATAATAGGAAAATTGGACTTTTTTTTAGCATGCTGGCAAGTGAACCCAGGGCCTCATGCATGCCTGGCAAGTGCTCTCTCACTGAGCCACACCTGCTCCTGGACTTTTACTGTGAACAACTCATAAGCTTCATCTCCTTCCCAATTCTGATAAGGGTCTCCCACTATCCCCCAAGTACATGTGCCCTCCAACCATCTCTTTTTGATTTCCCCTCTAGAAAATGCCGAATACTATTTACTTGCTATGGACCTTGTCTTGGTCAGCAGTCACCATCCTTTTACCTTTCTTTGATCATCCCTAAAGACTGCTGTCATGATTTTTGATATCTAAATCTGAACTTGGACAGAGTTTCTCCATGTCACAGTTGAACTGCTATAATAGGCATATATACATTGGCAGGGGAAAAAAAAGAAATCTTTTGCAGAAAATGATTATCTACATAAAAAACCCCAAGGAATTTATAGAACACCCACTTAAATTATGCAGGTTGGCAAGACCATAAAATACAAATTTGTCTGTTTGTTTGTTTTTTGGTACCAGGGATCAAACTCAGGTCCTTGAGCTTGTGAAGCAGGTAGTGGAACCACTGAGCTAAATCCCAGGCCCGGTAAAATATAAATTTAACATAAAACAATCATCAGTAGTTCCACATACTAGTAATAAATAAATGGAAATTGAAGCTTGAAAAATAGCACCATTTAATTTAGCACCAAAAAACATGGAATTCTTGTGTACAAACCTAATAAAGTATGTACAGTATCAATATGCTGAAAACTATAAATTTCTGATGGAAGAAACCGAAGGGGCTACACACATTATACCATTCTATGGTTGGGAACATTCAATACTGCTTTATCAATTGTCTCCATACTCATTTATGTATTAAATGCAGCCGCAAGAAAATCCCAAGGGTTTATTTTAAAATCCAAAAGCTGATCTAACAATTACTAAAAGGCAAATTAAGATAGCCAAATTAATTCTGAAAAAGAATTGTTAACTTCAAGATACTAAAGGTACAATAGCCATGGATTGTGCAGTATTTGACTGAATAATAGTTACAAAGACTAATGGAACCAGAGGTCGGGTGGGGGGCCCTACACACATGGATTTTTCACAAAGATGTGACAGCAATTCAATGCTGAAAGATATTTAAGGAGCTGGAGCCCTGAACATCCATCCTGGGAGTGAGCCCAAACTCTCCATGCAGAGGGCCACTTGGAGGGGTTTCAAGACACATAAGGAGCCACTATGTGACTATAACTGAGACCTGAACAAACTAGCTGAGAGCCTCCCCCAGTTTCCATGAGAAAAGATTGTTTTCTTGACAGAGGAGAAAGAACAGTTAATTGGATGTCCATATGCAAAAAAGGGATCCTGACCTCATACCCTATAAAAAGATGAACTCAGACTGATTATAGTCCTAGATGTAAAGCCTGAAACCTTAAAACTTTTGAAACCTTGGATTAGAGTTCTTACACCACAAACTAGAAAGCATAATCCAGGGCTGGGGATTTAGCTCAATGGTTCTGCTGCCTGCCTTGCAAGCTCAAGGACCCGAGTTTGATCCCTGGTACCCCCCGCCAAAAAAAAGCATAATCCATTGAAGACAAAGATTGACCATCAGAAATTTAAAAACATTGCCTCTGTAAAAAAAACTGTTATTGAAATAAAAATAAGCCACATATTGGATAAATTAATTGGAATTCACATAAACGACAATAGATGTGTATCCAGAACATTAAAAGAGATAAAAAACAAATCAGTAAAAAAAAATGGGTCTATGAATAGCAAAATGTAAGGCAAAGCCAAAATGAGATACTATTGTGAGATGTAAAAATAAAAACTAAACCATAACATAACAAGTGCCAGTGAGGAGAAATAACTAGAACTTTCATACACTGATAAAGGAAATGCAAAATGAACAAATTTTGGGTTTTTTTTTTTGTTTGTTTGTTTTTTGGTTTTTTTGGTACCGGGGATTGAACTCGGGTCCTTGCACTTGCAAGGCAGGCCACCGAACTGCTGAGCTAAATCCCCGGCCCTTTTTTGGTTTTTTGAGACAGGGTCTCACTACGTAGTTGAGACTGACCTGGAACTCATTATGTAACCCACGCTGGTCTTGAACTCACATCAATCCTCCTGCCTCAGCCTGAGTGCTGGGATTAACAGGCATGCGCCACCACACCTGGCTCAAAATGAGCAATTTTAAAGTTGTCAGTTTCTTGTAAAATTAAATATATCCTTACCATACTATCCAGTAATAATCCTAGATATTTATGACAAAGCTTAGATTGACAAAACTATACACAAATGTTTATAGTTGCTTTCTTCATAATCAACAAATCTGAAAACTCAGTCTTCAAACGGTAAATAAATGAATGAATGTGGTCCATCTATACCACAGACTACTACTCAGCAATAAAAAGGAGTGACGGAGGTCAGGGACACAGCTTAGTGGTACAGCACTACAAAACTTTTAAAAAAGGGATAACTGATTATAAAACAAATAAATCTCAAGAGCACTACACTAAGAAAAGACACTAAACAAGCTTCATACTGTAGGATTTCATTATGGCATCGACACAGAATATTTCAGCTGGCAATGAGAAGAGCTCACTGTACACAAGGGAATTTCAGGGCAGGGGATGTTGGAACTGTTAGATGTCTTCATAGTGGTGGTTACCTGACAGTGAGCATTTGCCAAAACTCAATGATATACTAAAGTCAGACTCATATATAAATTATATAAATTCCTTAATTAAAAAACTTAAGATATTTGCTGGTAAGATTTTCACATACATCTAATTTTCATCTGAAACAGATGCAGAATTTTGTCAAATGTTCTCTCTGAATCGAGATGATCGTAAGAATCCATACCCCCAAAATGCATATAGAACCCATATGAAGTTCAAGAACAGATCTAACTATAGTACAGAAATCATAATATTGTTGGCACTGAACATGGGATTGACTGCAAATGGGCGTGAGGAACGTTCCTAACAGAAACACTGTATACGCTGATCTAGTGATGATTACACATTGCATACATTTGGCAAAATTCAGGAAGCCAGGAGGTTTGTGCATGTCACTGCATGTAAACCTTACCTCAATAAAAGTGTTAGCATACAAAAATGCTAGTCACAACCCACTGAGCTGATTTTTGGATCCATTAACAGGCTGCAACTTCCAATGTGAAAACACTTTTGTCCACAGGACTTGAAGAGTTTGGAATATGAGCCCACTTGTCTAACTTAAATGTCCTCCAAGTCTTATACAACACTCTTGAGGACAATTTTACAGAAACTGAATACAAAATTTCAAATGTGACTGGTCTTCTTTCTGCTCATATAATAATTATTGAAAGCATATAATGTGTTAGGCACTAAAAAGGCAGATTAAGCAGTTGGCAGTTCTTCCATCTCAGTACTTTTAGTTAATTTCAGGTCAGAGTCACCCTTCCTGAGCATCCTGTCTCTGTCTGTGTTTTGAATGAAATCCACTTAGCTACACTCCTACACAGCTTCTCTGCTATGTGAACTCCCACCCACTGCAACATGTCAATCTCTAACTAAAATGCTGACCCTTTATGAAACAAATCTTGTCTCCTAAAACAGCTCTGATCATTGGGAGTGTTTAAGCACCCATTTGAAATACTAAACACAGTATTTTATAGTTTATTTCCTGTACAAATGCTCTGAAAGGAAGTCTTTGTCACTTTCATCATCAGCATGGATTCGCTGATGAATTATAAGACTTGAGCTCCAACTGAAGCCCTTCCCACACTCCTCACATTTGTAGGGTTTCTCTCCAGTGTGGACCCGCTGATGCGCCTGCAGGTATGAGCTCCAGCTAAAGACCTTCCCACATTCCTCACATTTGTAGGGTTTCTCCCCAGTGTGGACCCTCTGGTGGGCCTGAAGATAGGATCTCTGTCGGAAGCGCTTTCCACACACATCACATCGGTATGGTTTTTCTCCTGTGTGAACTCCGCGATGAGCAAGAAAATTTGAGGCCCGACAGAAGCCCTTTCCACACTCCTCACACTGATACGGTTTCTCTCCGGTGTGGCACCTCTGGTGGGCTTGAAGCTGTGACCCCACACTGAAGCCCTTCCCACACTCTACACACTGGTACGGCTTCTCTCCGGTGTGGACTCTCTGATGTACCTGGAGACTTGAGAACTGACTGAAGGCCTTGCCACACTTCTCACACTTGTAGGGTTTCTCTCCTGTGTGGATCCTAAAGTGAACGTTCAGATCCGAACTCCGACTGAAGCCCTTCCCACATGTACCACATTTGTACGGTTTTTCTCCTGTGTGGCCTCTCTGATGGGCTAGAAGATTTGAAGCCTGGCTGAAGCCCTTCCCACACTCCTCACATTTGTAGGGTTTTTCTCCTGTGTGGACTCTGAAATGAATGTTAAAATCTGAGCTCCGGCTGAAGCCTTTCCCACAAGCATCACACTGGTACGGTTTCTCTCCCGTGTGGCCCCTCTGATGGTCCAGAAGATTTGAGGCCCGACAGAAGCCCTTCCCACACTCCTCACATTTGTATGGCTTCTCTCCAGTGTGGCTTATCTGATGGGCCTGCAGGTGCGAACCTACACTGAAGCCTTTCCCACACTCCTCACATTTGTAGGGTTTCTCTCCTGTGTGGATTCTGCAGTGAATGTTAAGGTGTGAGCTGTAACTAAAGCCCTTGCCACAGGCATCACACTTGTATGGTTTCTCCCCAGTGTGGATTCGCTGATGGGCCTGTAGTCGTGAACGCCAACTGAAGCCCTTCCCACACTCTTCACATCTGTAAGGTTTCTTTCCATTGTGGATCCTCTGATGAACCTGAAGATATGAGATCTGACTAAAGCCCAGCCCACACGCCTCACATTTATAGGGTGTCTCTCTTGGGTGGATTATCAGAGGAGCCTGGCGATGTGAGCTTTTTCCGGCGTTCTTCCCACATTCCTCGTACTTGTGTGGGTTACCTCCTGTCAGGAGTCTCTGATGGTGCTGAAACTGGAACCTCTGACTGAAAGCCTTGCGTGATAAATCAGGTTTGTATGGTTTCACTCTGCCATGCACTCTCTGATGGGCTTGAAGACTTGAAAACCGACGGAAGGTGCCATCACATTTTTCACATTTGTAGGGCTTTTCTCCTACACGGGCTCTCTGGTTCACTTGGAGATGAGAGTCCCAAATGGAACCTTTCTCACACAGCTCCCCTTTGTAAAGTTTTGCACCACCATGCACTCTGTGGTGAACCTGAAGATGTGAACTCTGATTAAAGTGTTTATTGAAATCTTCATCTTCATAGGGTACCTCATCTAGTTTTGTCAACTGAGAGCCAGTTCCTTGAATATTCACCATAGACTCTTGACATCTGGTTAACTCCCTTGTAACTTGCTGCCAGATCTGTGAGCAGAAAGGCTCTTCATGTGGCAGGTACCTTGAGCCTACTTCTTGGAGAATCTCCATCTCATTTAGACTTTGGTCTCCTAAAAAGATAAAGAGAATTCAGAGATGGGGCATGGGAATGCTGTATTCAGAGATGTCAGTTATATACTTAGATCCCCAGACTAAGGTTTTACTGAACCAAGGAGAAGGTTCCATTTTTCTTTTTCATTACAAATTGTGTTACCTGACTTATACGCCCCCCACATACCAACGAGTGGTCTGCCAGACTCCACTCACCACACATCGAGACTAGTAATTTAGAGTCTCACTAAGTTTCATAAATGAGCTACAGGTTGGAAATTTGGTCCAAGAAAAAAATTTTCAGCTGCACCTCACTAAAAATCTTGTCTCCTTTTGCTGGAGCAGTGTTTGATAAATATCTTCCACATAATTCTGCCTACTGCATGGACACCTGAATGAACTGGCCCTGGTGAAAATGTCTAGTAAAATCCCTACAGATTCCTTAGACAATGCTGGAAATCTCTGCCCTGGATTACTTCATTGGCAGTTGACTGCAATGTTAGGAGCTCTGAGACAATGGACTCGTTAAAAAGATATATGTCTGGAGGAAAATACCTAAAGTTCAGAGTGCAAGCAGAGTGCCTGCCTCCTTCTGGGAAATATGCTCCATAAGAACATCTAGGGAAAAGGTTTCCACAAACAACATATTATTCTAAAATCTGATGGCAATTAAAGTCTCCACAGGAAAACAATGAAAAACTGGAAGTTAATCTGTAACAACAGATCAAGAACTTTGAGGAAGAAATAAAGCAACAGAGCCGGGTGTGGTGATGCACGCCTGTAATCCCAGCACTCAGGAGGCCGAGGCAGGAGGATCGCTGTGAGTTCGAGACCAGCCTGGGCTACATAGTGAGTTCCAGGTCAGTCTCAACTACACAGTGAGACCCTGTCTCAAAAAAAAAAAAAAAAAAAAAAAAAAAAAAAAAAAAAAAAAAAAAAAAAAAAAAAAAAAAAAAAAGCAACAGAACAGATTTCCAAAGTCAATAGTGGAAAGGAAATGTTAACGTCTCCTTGGAACTCAATTCCACCAATTTTCCATATGGCTTGCTATGTACTTGTGTCTGGGTCTCCAAAGAACAATATATCAGCAAGGCCTCTTTTCCCACCCAATATCAAATAGTAAATTCTCCCCATCCGTTATATACCTTTGGCAATCTGTTTACCTGACTGTTTTGTTTTCACACAGCTCACAAAGTCCTCTGACATACTATATGCTCTTTATCCTTTTTGTCTTCCTCTACATGAATGCAATACCCACGATGACAAGGGTTTGTACTGTTCACACTTTATCACCACTCCCAGAGCACGGCCTGACACTGCTCGACAAATGTACACTCAAGGAACAGAGGAATTCTAGTTTGACTTCTTTGTGAGAGTTTGACCCGAAGTTACAAAAATAAAAGCTTTTTTCAAGTGAGTTATCCATAATGGGAAAGAGATTTAAAACATTTTGGCTGAGAAGTTGAGAAGTATCATAAAACTGAAGGGCTAAGCAAACTGAATGTTGTTGATGAGAAAATCAGGCTGAACACGAAACCACGGCAAAAATCATTCAAAGAAAAAACATCACAAGGCAGGAAGTGGCCACAGGGCCTCTGTGGATACTGACTGCTTGTGTGTAAAATACTTCATTTTAAAGGTCGGAGTCAATATTTGGAGCTCCAGGAGTAACAAGAACAATGCTGTGTCTGAGAGCAGACTGTATACAATTGATGGAAATAGGTGGACTGCTCTATTTGGCCACACCAGTGTTTTTCAAATTGAAGGCTGAGGTTCAATAACTGTAAATTTAGCAGCCAATGGCACGAACTGACAGGAACTCCAAGGACCTGCATATCCCGGGATACAGAGAGACCAGAGAGCGGATGATCAGCCAGAGCACCCGGCCTCACCCACAGAGAGCAGGTTCCTGAAGTTCTCCAGCATCACGTCTCGGTACAGCTTCGTCTGGGCAGAGTCCAGCAGCCCCAGCTCCTCCTCGCTGAAGACCACGGCCACGTCCCTGAAGGTCACTGTCCCCTATAGTGCAAGATACATTTCACTTAATCTTGCAACAATAGTTCACTAAAAGAACGGTAGGACTAAGAACAGCAGAAAAGATGTGCAGGAAGTAGTTCCAGATAAAGTCCAGAGGCAAATTCACTGGGATATGCTGCAGATTTTTTCAGCTGGGCATGATAAGGCACGCCTGTAATCCCAGCTTCCGCTTTCAGCATATAAGCAGCAAATGCGTTTACTCACATTTTGCACTGTTTTCGTATAGCTCTGTTTACAGTGCTGTATCGCAATTTCAGCCTTACTGACATTTTGGACCAGGCATATCTTGGCTATCAGAGCTGTCTGGACACCATAAGATGTTTGGCAGCACCTTATCTTCTACCCGCTAGACACCAGTGGCACTCGCAAACTGTGGTGACCAAACTGTTAGTGGATGTTGCCTGGGAAGTAAAATCACCCATGACTAAGAATCACTGCAATTAAAATTTAAGTGGCTGGGAGCCAGGCGTGGTGGTGCACGCCTGTAGTCCCAGCCCTTGGGAGGCTGAGGCAGGAGGATCACTGTGAGTTCGAGACCAGCCTGGGCTACACAGTGAGTTCCAGGTCAGTCTCAACTTCATTGTGAGACCCTGTCTCAAACCTTCCCCCCAATAAAAAAGACTTAAGTGGCTGGGGATTTAGCTCAGCGGTTCCACCACCTGCCTTGCAAGTGAGAAGTCCCAAGTTTGATCCCCAGTACCAAAACAAAACAGAAAAACCTGTGACTCAAGATTTTAATTAAGCACTGTTTTAACTTCTCATATGAAAACTGTTCATCCCTGGAAAACTGCACATTCAGTGCCTTAAATGAACAGAAGGGATCACAGAGAAGGGGCCACCAAGAGTGAAGCGGGAAGGGGGAGTATTATCCATGGCGCTGTCCACCCCCAAGAACAAGCTTGGCACCGACAAGAAAAGCAAGCCTAAGGAATTCACTTCTCTTGCCCCTCTGTCCACCCAAGTATATATAGTATCAAAAATATCATTTGTAGGGGCTGGGGATTTAGCTCAGTGGTTCCGCCGCCTGCCTTGCAAGCACAAGGACCTGAGTTCGATCCCCAGCACAAAAAAAAAAAATGGGGAAAGGGACAGTACCATAACCCCAGCAGTGAGTCCCAGTTTCCTGTGAGCCACAACAGCACCAGGTGAACTAAAGAATAAAGACAGGAAATGAGACTTAGAGAAGAAGCTGGGCCATGGGCCTGATCAGTGCTGCTCTGGGCCGCAAAGACAAAGGCACCTGAACTTGCCACTATTTACTGGGTTCATACGGGGCATCAGATGACTCAGCGTGCAGCAGTAATCCTAAATTGACAAGGATCTTCTAATCGGAGGAAGTGTCAGATGACTGGAGGGTGGCAGAAATCCTATGATCATGAGGATCTTGGGTCAATGAGGAGTTTAAATTGTTAGGATGATTAGGACAGTGAGATGAGCAAAACTTCCTAGAATAGTAGGTGCGATGAGTTAAGCTGATAGGGAATTTGTCCTTCCCAAAGTAAAACCTTTCTACCTGGTTCTCAAAGACTCAGAATGTCTTCAGCTGATCTAATCTTGCCCTTGAGCACCACAGCACCACGGACTACTGAGGCCTTAGATAACTCATGATAATTTAATTGTGAAATGACTTTTCCCAAAAATTATGTAGAATGGCTCCCCACAATTTGGTATTCCTAAAATACTGAAGCAAGTAATGGCAAAACTTCAAATCCTTTTTGGAGAAAACCATGTATGCAGGAAAACTTTACCACAATGATCCTCAACACAGTAAAAAATCTGAGCTACTTAAATGTCCGTGAATAAGGGAAAATTATCCTTCATGCATTCATACACTGACCAGAGTACGTCAAAAGCTGTAGGGCATATCACATTTCTTAGAAAAAGCATAATTTGAAAATTTTATCTACACTATGATTATAAATACACTGCTATGAATGCATATGAGAAAAAGAATAACCACTGTTTTACAAGAGAAATAGGAGATAATGGGAGTCTTGTCACTATTATTGACTTTTCTATACTATGCTTTATCAAATTATAAAATGATCAAACAATAAACATGAAAAAAAAAGGCAGCAAATACTATCCACCAGAGATTCTCAAATGCTTACAGTTCTCCTCACTGTTGCCACAGAAAAGAGGAACAAGATGTGTATAAACTGTGAGAAAGAAGATGACAATTTAAAACCTAGGAAAGTAAGCCCAACTCACCTTGAACTTGGGCATTCTGTCCTCTCCCTTCTGGGAAATGGCTGGGTCCTAGGGAGGCATAATGGGGGGAGACGAATATTGCCATGAGAATCTGGCCAAGGGTGTCACTAACCCATATGGCTGCATAATCCACATGATGAGCAGAGTCTGGATTCCAGATACTATTCACTCCTTCAGGTAAAAGCCCCTGGGAACGAGTGACACCCTAGCACTCAGTGTGCCCTTAACATGCTCTCATCAGCCTCACAGTACTATTCTGACTGTAAGCAGCACAGAAATGGAAAGTATAGCACAAGTTAAGCATGCAAACTCTGGCCCAAAGAACTATAGTCTTGACATTGCTATTTACTAGCTGTGAAATCCTATACAAATTATCTCCATGTCAATTCTTTCATCCATAAAATGAAGAGACTTAACAATTAAGAGAATTAACACTCTCAGGATTAAGAATTCAATAATAATAATAATTTTTTTAAAAAAGCTCAAAGAGTACTTTCAGGGCAACTTATTCCTTAGGTGGTGAAAAGGAGGTACTATTCAATAACATAAAACCTGTCTTCATAAGTGATTTCTATCCAGGGAACCTCTAGAGGTTGCTGCTCTGTCATATGAAAATTACCTTTAATTTCTGAAATACCATTATTCTTAGTCTGTCATACTTAATTTGATGTCTGTCTAGTAATATTTAGGGTGTGATCAAAATATACAGTAAGGGCCGGGGATTTAGCTCAGTGGTTCCGTGGCCTGCCTTGCAAGGGCAAGGACCCGAGTTCAATCCGCGGTTCCCCCCAAAAAAAACAAAAAAAAACCAACCCAAAACAGTAAATGTTTAAATTTTAAAATTTTATTACAGTAAAAAAGCCAAATTGCCGCTGGGGATTTAGCTCAGTGATGCCACTGCCTGCCTCACAAGTACAAGGCCCAAGTTTGATCCCCTGTATTTTAAAAAAAACAAACATTGCCATGAATCCCCCTCATTTTGAACACTTATCCCATTGTTCTTGACATTTTTGAAGCAGTTCTGGAAGCTCTTTAGTGTCTTTATGAGGTGTGATAAAAATATGGTGAATGCTGCTGCTGAGCGCCATCCAACAGAAAAACAGGCTCAAAAAATCTACAGTGTCCTCATCTACAGTAGACCCTCCTGTTATGGCCGGCCTGACATACGAACAACTTCGGTTAGTTAGGTTAATGGAAGATTCATCGGCCTCTTGTTATCTACAGCATGAACCCAGGTAAGCATCCAGATCTCAGATGTTATTGACTTACAACCAACCCTCCCTCGGGAACTGATGGGAGTTCATAAGTCAAGGATCTACTGTATTTTATTCATGGATCTGGCACCAGGTGGTTTCCAGCTCTTCTCCAAAGTCAAAATCACCATTAAAAGGTAAACATTTTGAATCAATTCAGGATATCTAGGCACCCCATGCAACTAAAGATACTCATGAAAGGGATTTCTAGAACTGTTTCAGAAAGTAAAAAGATCAATGAGATAAATGTACTAGAAGCAAGAGTAAGTATGCAGGGGTGGTTAAGACATTGTCTTTTGCTATAATAAATTTTTTAAAAGAATTTTTTAACATTTACCATGTTTTCTGATCTTATCATGTAGATGAACGGGACTTCTTAAGTAGTAAAATACACCATGTCAAATTTAACATTTTAAGCATTACTAAGTGTACAGTTCAATAAGTACAATTACACTATTATGCAATCACAGCCAATGTTTAGCTCCAGAATTTTTTAGCATAATCCCAAGCTGAAACTTTGTATGGTAAACTCCCCATCCTCTCTCTAGCCTGGTAACTATTTGTCTCTGGAATTTGATTATACTGTTGATTGAGTTTTCAGAGATGTAAGACCTTGCAAAATTTTTCAACATGAAAGAGAAGAAAATTTCATAAAAACCTGGGTCTCTATGCTGTATACTCAATCACACGTTTGTTAACCAGTATGCCATGGAATCAACAAGCTACGATAATCACTGCAAGAATAAAAATAACGGAATTAGTAACGTTTACCATTAAGTACCTGTCAGGAGCCCAGTACAACACTTGGCATTCACTGTTTCAGTATCTCACACGTACCTGTTGTCCTACTGCGGCGCCAGTCCTGGGACCTTGGTTCCACCACCTAAACCTCTGTGCCTATTCTCAGCTACAAAAGGAAAAGAAAATGAACGTTAGGCATAGGTTATTATGGGAAACGAACAGATTTACGCGGTACCCTTGGCCAAGTACCTGACATTTCAGGAAGTTCTCAGCACTGAAGTCGACGACTGCTGCCCCCACTGAGCAGGTGAGGTCCAAGGGCAGGAGTGACCCCTGAGTCCGGCTCTCGTGCCAGAGCCAGTGTCTGAATCTCCTCTCTCCGTTGTTTCTATGGAGGACAAAAATAAGCAGATGGGAGCTTAAGGCCTCACAGAAAGAGAGCTAGGGATAAAAGATAAGACACATGAAAGAAAGAACTCTACAGACATAGGATCTGCTCGAGAGAGAAGAGAAGTGAGCTGTGAACAAGACCGACTCTAAAGCCAGCTCGCCAATGTTAGGGTCCTAGCGTCTCTAACACGATGGCAGTGTTGCCTCTGTGTCTCACCTCTCAGCGGGGGATGATGACGGTAACACTAAACTCACAGGAAGGTCAAAGTGACTAACTACACACAAAGCATTTGGAACAGTGTCCGACAGCTGAAATATTCAATACAAGTTACCCACATATCCACCTGGCTGTTGTTCCTCGGCGCTAGGGATGGACTATTAAAGCCCTAATGCGACGGTACTCCAGAAGACAAGTGAAGTAGGAATTAGACCCCTTCCAATGGGATTCGCGCCCTTAGACTGAAACAGTGAGACACCCATTCCCACACCCTCAGGGTGAGGACAAAAGATAGCATCTGGACAACAGGAAGCAAGGCCTCACCAGGCATCGCGTTTGCCAGTATCTTAATCTTGGACTTTCTAAGTTCCAGAAATGTAAGAAATAAATGTACATTGTTTAAGCCACCTGATCTATGGTATTTATGTTATTTCAGCCCAGACTTACTCAGTGATTCAGGGTGGCTAAGCAGTACACAGCCTGATGAGCAGAGCAGGGGCTGAATTCCAGATGCTGCTGAAACCCCCAGCCCAGGGCCACTCCACAGTGACCCACCCACCTAACCTACACAGCGTCTATAAAATACATTCTCCTGTAGGGTCTAAATCTGACTGTAGGTAGGATGGAAACTGAGGGTAAAGTAACCTAGGTTTGGTGGTGCACACCTGTAATCCCAGCTATGTAGGAAGCTGAGGCGGGAGGACTGCAAGTTGGAGGCCAGCCTGGGCAACTCAGCAAGACCCTGTCTCAAAATAAAATAAAACAAGGGCCAGGGATGTAGTTCAGCACTCTCTTGGTTCAATCCCTTGTACTATGAGGCAGTGGGGTGTGGGAGGCTAGATAGGAAGACTGAAGCTTCATTGGCCTCCTCAATGAGCACTAAGAAGAAAGAGGGCAAGCAAGCGTGCTGACACGCTGCTAGGAAAAGTAAAAACACCTGAGACCCTGTTGTTTACCTGGACAAGTACCACACAGGGTGAGAGACGGACGAATCCTGTGTAACTTCACTGCTCGTGCCCACGTCTGAGTGAATAAAGCCAAGGTGCGCCAGTCACTTGAGGCTCTCTGTTGAAGGGAGACAAGAGCCCCCAGCCCTCCACATTTTAACCTGGTTCTGTGTCTCTTTACTTTTCATCCCAGTCACCCCTCAGTCAAGCTTGAGCTTGTAGGCTGGTTCCTACAGTGGGGGAGGGGTCCTGATTAAGAGATGAATACTAGTTGATCAGTAGTCGTAAGTCATCTTATTTCAGATAGAAGAAACTTACCACAGAAGCCTGCTTCTATAGTTCAGAAGCTAAATGGTCCCCAAAGCCCCATGAGTTAAAGGCTTGGTTCCCAGTGTAGTAATACTGGGAGGTGGTGGAGGCTTTAAGAGGTGGGACCTATGGGGAAACCTTTAGGTCACTGTGAGCACAGCCTCAAAAGAGGATTGTGGGACTCTGGCCCTTTCCTTCTTCTTCTCTTTCTTGCTTTCTGGCCATGAGGTGAGTGGTTTTTTGCTCTGCTACACACCCTTGTGTGTGGCCTTCCCATAAACTCAAATTTAGGAGGCCAACTTGCTTTGGACTGGAACCTCTAAAACTGTGAGCTAAATCAACCTTTTCAAAGTTGATCCCATTATAGTCACAAAATGCTAATATACCTAGTATGGCTTTCTTCCCAATCTTAGAAGAAATCCCCCTTGAAAATTTGTGATTTTCTTTGTTCTACTTCTTTATTTGCCCAGCAATCTCTAGTAAGTGTTTAGCAGAGAGATCCTTCCATCCCCTATGAGGGAAAAGGGATAACTAGTAAGCCAACCATCTGTCTCGTGATTAACACTTACTCGGATTTATTTCCCCAAAATCTAAGACAACAAAGTAATTGCTCAGAGCTGACTGAATGAATCTACATCTGACAGTTGGGCAGAAGCAGGTGAAAAACCCCACAGGTGGCACCACCACACCCAGCTAAGAATCCACACTTCTAACATCCCAGCGAATGCTGCTGTGGTTGGTCTCTGGGATCACAATTTGAGAAGCGTCAGTCAGTGATAGCTCTCCAGAGTTTTTCAGACAGGGTAATGACTTTGGGATTCCACCTCTAACTTTTCTACCAACCCTAAGAGAGGACCGAGATCAACCCTAAGCTCCTGATGTTATTCACAGGGAAATCCAAAGCATTCATGAAAAACTCTCTTCAATAGTTAGGTCTTGGCATAGTACCTACTGGGCAATCTTCATAACAACCCTAAGCATTGAGAACAACAAGTCTGCCCATTTTACAGTTCAGGAAATTGAAGCACAGAAAAGTCACTTTTTTGTGATTTACCAGAAAGTCAAGATTTTCACTCTATGCCTTATCTATTAGGATGATTGGGAGTCAAATCTGGGCACACATTAGACTCACAGTGGAACTTAAAAATTCTCAAGCCTGGGGCTGGGGATTTAGCTCAGTGGTTCTGCCACCTGCCTTGAAAGCACAAGGACCCAAATTTGATCCCCAATACCAAAATAAAATAAAATAAAATAAAATTCTCAAGCCTTATCCACATCCAATTAAATCAGAATCCATGGAGGAGAGATGCTGACATCGAATGTTATACCCCTCTTCACAGCCAGGTCACCACTTCATTGTCCAGAAAGGACAGTGCACCAGGGAGCGGAGCTGGGCAGTGTGACACTTGGGCCCACACCCTTTACCACTAGGCAATGGTTCTCAAATTCTGGTACGCATCTGAGTCTGAGAATGCAAGTGCTGCCTGAACATCTTTTCGTCTCAGGGCCCCAAGGCCTAACCATGAGATCCCCGTGCACTCTCGATATGCCTCCTCCCCAAAGTTTCCTATGTGTTAACTCTGTTTTTCTATTCTATGCTGGCTATTTGACATCTGTTACTCCCTAAGTCTGCTGAACCACAGGGTCAGACTTACAACCAAGTTACTTCCATCTTCCTGCAAGCAGTTTCCACAAAGGACTTACCATATTCCCAGGACTATTCTAAGCATTTTATATATCATATCTTTTTAATCACAGAAAACTTAGGAGGGATGTATTGAGGTTACTCCTACTTGATAGGTAAGGAAACTGAGGCACCGAGAGGTTAAGTAACTTCCCTGAGGCCATCCAGGTACTGTTCTCGAGGTAGGTTTCCAACTTAGGTGCTGAGGTTTGATCCAGGCTCTGCTTCTTTCGGAATGTATTACCAAGTCATTTATTCAATTAGGTTGTCTACGCCTATTATTCCTCTTTAAAATGAGAACATGAATAAGACCGTCATGAGAAGTACATGGGTTAGCTGCGAACGCTGAAATTCTCCAAGTCATAGGGACACCCAACAGATGTGAGCTCATCTTAACACTCCCGTCTCCATGTAATAAATAAAATAGCAAACGTTAACGTTCAGTTGTCCCTAAGGGAATTTGTTTATATCATGACAATACTATCATCAATTGGACATCAACTTTTGAGTCCTCTGAAAAAACTGATAGATTCTGTAGCCACCCAAAATAAAGACAGAGGGACGTGGTCTTTCAATTCTGTTCTCTAAGCCCAAGCTGTAGATCCTTATTTTCAGCTACTTGTCGGACAGCTACATGAATCAGATTACTCATTGAATAACTCCTCTTTGTCAACCCGTTGGGGGCACTCTGAGCATGTGATGAAGTCCATGAAACACAGAAAACAAATGAAGAAGAGAGAGGAAAGGAAAGAAGAGGCGGGGGGACTAAAGTTATATGTCAGTGGCTAGCACAACTCTAAAGGAACAAAAGATTAATCATCTTCTTTTTCCCAACCCTATCTCTTTCTGGCTTTGTCACATAAATATAGTGTATTCTAGTTGCCAAGAGTGAAAACCTTAAGAGTCGCTATTAGCTCTTAACATCTGTGACGGGCCAAATTGTGTTCCCTCCCAAATTTGTGTGTTCAAGTTCCAGCCCTCCGTTTCTCAGAATGTAACTCTATTTGGAGACAGTGCCCTCCAGAGGTTAAGTAGTAACATACAAACGGACTGTCAGGCCCGGCCTAAACCAACAGAAAAAAGCAAATAGAAGCTTCTCGGTAAACAGGACAAATCAACTCAAAACAAAGTATACAACCTCCCTCGAGCGACTGCACACTCCAAGTCACAAGCATTTCACCCCAGATGCCTTAGCCCCTTCAATGCCTATAGAAGCCTAATTCCTTTCCCAGTTGCTAATATCTCTCTCTTGGTGTTAGCCCATTCACCCACAGATGACATTTCCCCCCGCTAGCAGCTAGAATCTCCTGCTTTTAGTCCCTATTCACTGGAATAAACTTTTCTTTCAAAAGCCTAATTTTCTTCCATTAACTTTATTGGTACAGTTTAGGTATCCAATACAGTTACATTCATCATTAGGATCTTGGGTCTTTACATGATGTGTCTTGGTTCTTATTTTTCCCTCCCTTCACCCCCGCTTCCTATTTACAAAGACTTCGTTTCCATGTTTTTCCTTTTCTCATATTTCAAAAGCCTATTTTTTGGCAAGTGGATTCATTATAACAGGGACAGCACAGGAGCTCTTGCACAGAAAAGAGAGAGCCCTCAGACAAAACCAAAGCTCCTAACACCTTGACCTTGAACTTCCAGCTTCCAGAACTAAAAGAAAATAAATTTCTGTTGTCTCAAGCCACCCAGTCTGTGGTATTTTGTTATGGCAGCCCTGGCAAATGAATACAATCTTTCTTCCCTTAGTCTTTATATATACAATTTATGATTTTTTTTGTAGTACTCCTTCACACTGAAGTACCTTTATTTTTATTTTGAGATAGAGTCTCATTAATTCACTAAATTATCCAGATGGGGCTCAAACTTGGTTGAGATCCTCCTGCTTCAGCCTTCAAAATGCTGGGATTACAGGTATGTGCTAATACACCTGGCTTATGACAGTTTTTAAGTCCTACTGACTCAACACCCGCACTTGCTTTAAAATACTCAATGGGAAAAATATATGTGGTGGGGTAAAGCAATAATATTAGTAAGGTTAACAGGACAGTTATTACGTAAGAGCTCATTATGAAGTATTATAAAGTGAGTACGTTTGCAAATTTCCATGGTAAAGAAGTAAAAGCTTACTATGCATAGTGTAACAGTCTCATAACATATACACAAGTACACATTAAAAACTGCTAACAGAAATGCATGAAAATGTTAATACAGATATTCCTTATTTAATGACCTATCTATTTCACAACTTAGGACCAAGGTGCACCATTTAGAATTACAACCTGTCTCTTTTTTTTTGGACATCTTGTTCAGACAGCTTCAGTGTAAAGCCTCTTTTTTTTTTTTTTTTTTTTTTTTT